AAGGGGGTGTGGCCTTCAGAGGGGTGTGGCCTGTTCTAAAAGGGGGTGTGGCCTCCCAAGGGGGTGTGGCCTGTTCTAGAAGGGGGTGTGACCTTTAAAGGGGGTGTGGCTTGTTCTAGAAAGGGGTGTGGCCTCCCAAGGGGGTGTGGCTTGTCCTAGAAGGGGGTGTGGCCTTTGGAGGGGGTGGTGCTTGTTCTAGAAGGGGGCGTGGCCTCCAAAGGGGGTGTGGCTCGCTGACCACGCCCCCTTTTTCTGTGGCTCCTCCCCTCAGTGGCCGCGGCCTACACGGAGCTGGTCACCTACCAGAGGAAGCACAACGTGAACCCCCTGCGGGGCTTCCTCGTCCCATTGGTGCAGGTGAGCCACGCCCCCCTCCTCATTTGCATACCGGGGACACGCCCCCTTTGCCCTTAAATCCCCCTAAAAACCTCCTTGAGTGGCTCAGAATGGGTCAAAATTGCCCCAAATTGGCCCCAAATTTGTCCAAAAATGACTCTGATTGTTAAATGTGGGTGTGGCTAGTGCTGGTGGCCACGCCCACCTCATTTGCATGTCTATCCATTAAAGTCAATGGGGAGAAATGAGGCATCAGGTCTACCCATTAAAGTAAGTGGGGGTAAGTGAGACATCAGGTCTACCCGTTAAAGTCAATGGAGATAAATGAGACAACAGGTCTACCCATTAAAGTCAATAGGCAAACGCGACAACAGGTCTACCCATATAAATGAATAGGGGAAAAAAAAAAGAGCATCAGGTCTACCCATTAAAGTCAATGGGGATAAAAAGAGACATCAGGTCTACCCATTAAAGTCAATGGGGATAAATGAGACATCAGGTCTTCCCATTAAAGTCAATGGGGGTAAATGGGAATCAGGTCTACCCATTAAAGTCAATGAGGATAAATGAGACAACAGGTCTACCCATTAAAGTCAATGGGGGAAGTGGGACATCAGGTCTACCCATGAAATTCAATATATTCCCCCCCAAAATGCGATATATTCCCCCCAAAGTTCAATATATTCCCCTCACCCAAATTCAATATATTCCCCCCAAAATTCAATATATTCCCCCCCAAATCCTCTTCTAACCCCCTCCCTCGATGTTTTTTCTGCCCCCAGACGCCCGTGTTCGTGTCGTTCTTCCTGGCCCTGCAGGGCCTGGCGGCGGCTCCGGCCCCGGGGCTGCTCCGGGGAGGATTGGGCTGGTTCCAGGACCTGTCAGCCTCCGACCCCTATTACGTGCTGCCCCTCCTGGTCACGGCCTCCACCTGGATGGTGCTCGAGGTGGGGATTTCGGGGGTTTTGGGGTCGTTTTGGGGGGTTAAAACGGGGAAAAAATGAGAAATCGGGATCGGTGAGGCATCAGGTCTATCCATTAAAGTCAATGGGGAAATGCGACAACAGGTCTACCCATAGAAATGAATGGGACAAAAGGGCATCAGGTCTACCCATTAAAGACAATTGGGATTAAAAGAGACATCAGGTCTACCCATTAAAGTCAATGGGGCAAGTACGACAACAGGTCTACCCATAGAGAGGAATAGGAGACAAGGACATCAGGTCTACCCATTAAAGTCAATGGGGCGAATGGGACAACAGGTCTACCCATAGACATGAATTAGAAAAAAAGGCATCAGGTCTACCCATGAAAGCCAATGGCGGTAAAAAAAAAGAGGCATCAGGTCTACCCATTAAAGTCAATGGGGCAGAAGCGACAACAGGTCTACCCATAGACATGAATGGGAATAAAGGACATCAGGTCTACCCATTAAAGTCAATGGGGATAAGAAGAGACATCAGGTCTACCCATTAAAGCGAATGGGGGGAACGCGACAGCAGGTCTACCCATAGAAATGATTGGGACAAAAGGAAATCAGGTCTACCCGTTAAAGTCAAAGGGGGAAACGCGACAACAGGTCTACCCATAGAAATGAATGGGACGAAAGGACATCAGGTCTACCCATTAAAATAAATGGAGATAAAAAGAGACATCAGGTCTACCCATTAAAGTCAATGGGCAAATGAGACAAAAGGTCTACCCGTAGAAATGAATGGGGGAAAAAAAGGGCATCAGGTCTACCCACTAAAGTCAATGGGGTAAATGGGACATCAGGTCTACCCATTAATCCCCCATTTTGGGGGGGATATATTGAATTTTGGGGGGATGTGTTGAATTTTGGGGGAACAAATT